TTATCTTGTCATAAATAAGAGCAGAATTTTACTTAGTCCAGTACATAATCAGAGTTAGCAGAGTACCTCAGTTCCTATTAAATGTTACAAACAGGAATAACAATTCTGTTCTCTTCCTATCTTACCATCTGACAAGAAAAAAATAACTTTATTTTACAGTGGTTATTGTGCTCAGTTTGCAAATGCGAGTGAGTGAGCGTAGTCTGAGAGAGTTGGAGATATGTGTGAGGGCAGTCATGAATACATTTGGCTTGACACTTCTGCAGAGGTGTCTAAGACTTGGAAATTTGTTCTGCATTTGGTTTTCCAGTTCACTTTTGCGCCAGTGGGAAGTTTTCTAGACAGTCACCCTGTGAACGTGTAGCCTCCTATATGCGTAGTTTTTAACATGCCTCTACTGTCTGGTGGCCTAGCTAGCTATGGTCCATGTTTGGCTGTGTGTTATAGAGGGTATGGCGCTGCAGGCAGCTAAGCAGGTGAACTGCAGAGGGAAATATCTTTGCTTTTAATATGACAGAAATGTTTTTACTGCAGCTTTCTTGGATTTGTTCCTCCACGCATGATGTAGTTTATTTTGATATAGAAACAAGCATTGGGTGATTCACTGAGCCCTTAAGACCCTAAGGTATTTCACAGCTTGTGTCTAGAAATTAACGTTTGTCATCATGGACATTTGGATGTCAAATTTGAGATGTCAAAAAGGGTGCCAGTGATGAGGACTAACTCAAAAGTCCTTGATGGGTATTTTTCACCAAGAAGACCAGAGCATTTTTTGAAGTTTATTTCTCTTGTGGTAGTACTTTTTTAGTCTTTCGTAATCTTACCTTTATCAGTTGCATTTAACCCTGTAGTGCTTTAAGCTAAGTATTGTAAACTTGGAAGATGTTGCTGATGAATATGGTAGGGAAAACTGGGTATCATAAAAAGCTGCTGTGCAGACTCCTGGTGGTGTCTAATAAGCATGCAAATACTGTAGGGAAAAGGAGTGGGCCTTGAAAAACAGTTTTCAACTAAGAGTTTGATAATGGAGGTACAACTACACACGTGACATTTCCAGCTCATTTGATTAACCTTGGTAACTGATCAAAGTGGTTTGACTATCAAACATATTATCACATTCATTCTACCTGCATGGTACCGAATATTCAACTACACCATATTTTTCCTTTATCTTATCCCTCTGTTTTCTATGCCAGTCCGTTCCCTTGTCTCACTCCTGCTCAACTCTTGAGTGTGACCACCCAGTTTCAGTTACATGAACGGAATATTTCAATAAGTTAGAGGTCTTAATTGTGCTAAATGACAGTAATGCAAGAAGTCCTTGACCACTATTTGCAATTGGTTTCTCTAAGATTAGTTGCCTCAAGACTTCACTGTTTTGGGGCTCCAACTATATTGTGTTCAAAGTTAAGTCACTGTTTATGTTTTGCATGCAGCTTAAACTTCTCAATTGGCTTTTTGTACTTGAGGATCATCGAAGTGGGGAGTGAACACTGAATTTGCATCTTGAATTAAAGCCCATCCACCTGAAAATCATGGCACCAGTAAAACTAGGAGGACACTGATGCTCAGTGTGTACAGTCACACAGTCACTTGTTTCTGAATAAAAAAGGCAATCACAAGTTTTAAAACTTTTATGTCAGGGCTAGCATTCAGAATACTTTATATGAAATTAATAAAAAATATTTTGGCCTAGATTTATCATTTAAATTCAGCTAAAATGCTGCAGACTACTAATGACAAATATGACGCAAATAGTGCTCGTATGGGGGAATGTTACAGAAGAAAGGGGTGCATGTATGAAAACAGTAGTTCCAATGATTTGAATCAACTATAAACTAGTTAAGTTTTTAATTTTCTACCTTTTGGGGTGGGTTTTTTTCACACATTTAAAGGGTCTCATAGGATTTAATAGTGCTAAATTCAATGGAGCCCTATAAAGATTGCAAAGGACTTTTAAAAGGGTCCTTATAAAACTATAAAATAATAGGGCAGATGATACTTTCTATGAACTGAAAATCAACTGATATAATCTCAGAGAAAAAAATCTTGAAATGCTGTGGTATTTTTCCTTAAAAGTTTTTGTTGACTAAATGTCAAATGACAAATGTCTTTTTGCCTGACTGGAGTTGCTGAGTTCTTGATGCTCCCATGGATTTGCCATAGGGCATTACTCAGTGTTTCTGAACTTGAGTCCCTGAGTACATAGCAACTTTTCATTTGATTGAGCTTGCATGTTATCAGGGTTTTTTGCAGGTGAAAGTCTTGTGAAATTATCAATTCTAATTGTTTGCATTTTCTTTGTTGGTTTGTTTTTGTGTTTTTGGTTTTTTTTTTGTTTTGGTTTTTTTTGCCTCCTTTTGGAATTCATGACCGCCCAGTGAGAAGGACACTAAAAAGTGGGCTAACACCAGAAGAAGCCAAAGCACTGGGCCTCATCAGCACTTCTGAGATGCAGGTTTGATATCCCAGAGGCGGCAACAAGAAGAGCCATTCATCTGAAGCACACAGGCTGACAACCCTTCAGTGTGACATTGAGCTGCCAGCCTCTTCTGCTGCTCCCAACATCCTGTCCTCTGTTAGTTCAATTTTAATAAACAACAAAAAGCAAAACCCCACAGCCAGGGCAGAAGAAGAGTGTGCCACAGCTCAGCATGTCATCCCAACAGTAACTGAAGAAGCATTTCAGTGCTTGTAGGTGAAAGCATATGGCTTCTTCTTCTCATGGTGTGTTGATGTGAGTAGGAGGGGGCTCTCTGAATTATCTGTCATTATGTGAGCTGTGTTTACGTTGGCTTTTCTTGTGCCCTGTTTTAGTCATGGTAAATGTATGGCATTTTGTCAATGCAAGGAATGGTCCTTAAAGAGGCAAAATAACTCCTGTTACAGCAAACCCAATTTTTCTGAAGCAGATTCATTAAGAAAAGATGTGCAGTCTGAGCAACCCAGTGCTTTATTGGGTTTTTTTATTATTTTGCCACCAAAGAATGTAAAAATGTATGTGTACCTTTGTATATGTACAGAATGAATGTGTGGACATGTGTATGTGTATCTGTACATATACAGTCATGGTGTGAAATCATGCTCTTGCTGAAGGTAGCTGGACCACGATTTTCACTGTGGGGCCTTACTGTTCCACCTGGACAGGAGGAAAAGAATGTCTTTTTTGTAGGAACTCAGTGTTGTTCAGTGGGATTCACCCTGTGGGGCAGGGGATGGCCTGCAATACAAGTGGAGAATTTAGGATCCTTAATTCATATGTATTAATACACACTCATACTGTACATAGCAGCATGCACACAGAGGAGAGAATGCAATTCCTGCCTCTTGTTGAGCTATGGCTGTACTGTGCATTTGTACAGTTTCAGAGAGATCTGTGTCAACAATTTTACATACTCGATAAATGAATTTGGACGCTAAGTTCAAGAAGTTTTGTTCATTTGCCTGTGCCCTTCATGCTGCTTTTCTCTGCTGCAAGATAATGTGGTGGTTTGGGTTTTTTTTTTCAAATTAATGACTGAATATGAAATAGCCCTGCTAAAAAGCCTGTTGTGTTTTTGCTGTTCTTTACTGTTTTTTTGTGATTATCCTTGATACAAGTGGAATGGGTACCACAGTAAACAACTCCAATATATTTGCCCTTATCTCACTGTTTTATAACTGACTTTTATAACTGCCCTCAGCATGTTTGAAGAACCTTTTGTCAACTCATCTGCCTTTAAGTGGAGGACATACGCAGCAGTGAAGACGAATTGAACACAGTCAACCCAGCCAGTGCTGAAGTATTTTGAAGATAACTACAAACAACAATAACAGAAAAGGGAACTTTTTAAGCCAAAGTCTGTATATGGCCATTTGATCCTCAAGAATGCACAAGATTGTGTCTTTCCATTGCCTTAGCCTCTAAGATTAAGGGTGTGTCTGCAGAGCAGTAACAACTGAGGCTTCCTTCAAGCTAGTTAACTGGGGAACTGCTGCAGTTTAGTTGTGGTAACAGGGTTCAATTTTGGCAACAAAACACTCTTGGAAAATAGAATTAAGTAAGAGTCTATGCTGGGGTCCTAATGCCATAGCTGTGTTGCTTCTGGCACCCAAGCAAGGTCAGGTACTTCACATATTCTTCTCTGTTCTCAGTAAGGACAGGATAATTGCTGAAGATTGTTCAGGATAGTTGAACCAAACACAATAAACCTTTGAAACCTTGGTCACCTATCACATCGCATTGAGCACAGCATCCAAGTGATGAGAGAACCAGGTAGCTGACAACACTGCAATGAGATCTGTGGTTGAACATCCCATCTGTGCTGCCCACCCTCTTGATCATAACATTTAATTCTTTACCTGCCAATGCCTTGGATCTTCCGTGGAGTAAAAAGTCACTAATGAGCAAAGGTTCTTAAGGACAGCATTAAGTTCAATTTTTTTTCCCCTCAACTTGTTAAAAAGCCAATTTTACAAGTAGGCAGAAGGCAGTAGTTGGGTAATTAATAAAATATGTTGTGTATTTGAAAGCCATGGAAAGGAGGAAGCTGGTTGGGAAACAGAAGTGGCATGTAACTAATTTCACTGCAAAGTATGCAGGACCTATGAGCATCTGGATTTTAAAGTGGATCTTTATGTGCTGCTCACCATTATGGACTTTTAAAATCTCTCTTAAGGATGCTCAGAACAAAGAAATGAAGGTAATGGGGGTTCGTGGAGGTCTTTGAAGTCTGAAACAAGAGGAAGACGCCCTGAATGTAATGGTTATGTTGAACTGTGCTACTTGCTAAGGGATAAAAGAAGCAGAAATGCAACAAAATGCATTTATGCTGACAGAGATCCTGCGTTTGACTGGGAGGAGAAAATCAAACAAGTTTTTAAATCTGAATATTTTAATTAAAATATTC